CTTAGGACTAAGCAGTATTATCTGATTTTTTTTTTTAGCATCTCAAGAACAGTAATCGTACATTACTCTGCAGTAAAGCCATTATATAATGACCCATCTGTGGAAGAAAATTTCCCATGAACCTAATGGTAAAGAGATGACCCACTTTAGCTGCCAATCATTTCCACATGAGGAAGAGGAGCATGGCTATAATGCCTGAAACTGCCTCTCCAGGCAGGCTGATGAGAATTAGAAGCACATGGATGGATAGTGGCTTGCTTGAATAATATTTAGCATGGGTAGGCTGCAGTGTTATTGTCTGTATCTGTTTAGATTTACCTCTGTGGTCACTGAGGGGTAGCAGAAGCATATAGTGTCATGTGCAATTACAGAATCTATCCTTCTCCGTGTGGGAGGAGGCAGCACTGCTTTCATTAAACTTTTTTCTTATCCCAAGCTAAGAACTGTACACAACCGATCAATAAACTGGAAAGTAAAACATATCTTTTATTCAGATTAATAAAAACTCAAACTGAAGGATAAGCACAAAGGGTCAGACTGTGATGTCCTTATGGCCAGAGAACAGCACTAAATGTGGTTTGGTGGAAGCACATAGTGGACACAAGGGAGCTAAGAGGTTAGCCAGTGTCACTAAAGCACCACAGTCAGACAAAATTACAAGAAAAAATGAAAAGAGAAAGACAGTTTCATACTGCCAGGGTTGCATGGAACCAGGTAGGTTTTCCTCTGCTGAGAAATGTTGCCTAATATTTGGTGCTTTGGTACACTGAATCCTCTCTCTCAACAGATTTTCACAAAGATACGGCATTTCAGATTAACCCACCTTGAAGCTATATGATATGTTTCTCTGTATTTTTGTTATGTGCATGCACATTATGTAGCGTTAAAAGGCATATACTACAGAGCATATAATAGATGTTACCAACTTTACAGTGTCCAGAACAACCTGTAGAAAAACAGCAGTGACCCAAGCCAGTAAAAAGTACTGAATTTCTTCCTGCACTTGCAGCACATGGAGAAAGGATGCAACTTCTCAAAACTGAAGTGGCTCTGCAACTCTTAGAATCATAGAATAGTTAGGGTTGGAAAGGACCTTAAGATCATCAAGTTCCAACCCCCCTGCCACGGGCAGGGACACCTCGCTCTAAACCATATCACCCAAGGCCTCGTCCAACCTGGCCTTGAACACCACCAGGGATGGAGCATTCACAACCTCCCTGGGCAACCTATTCCAGTGCCTTACCACCCTAACAGGAAAGAATTTCCTCCTTATATCAAATCTAAACTTCCCCTGTTTAAGTTTTAACCCATTACCCCTTGTGCTACCACTACAGTCCCTAATGAAGAGTCCATCCCCAGCATCCCTATAGGCCCCCTTCAGATACTGGAAGGCTGCTATGAGGTCTCCATGCAGCCTTCTCTTCTCCAGGAAGAGACTCTTGCTTCCTTTGCAACTGCCTGAGTTTCTACAAGCAGGTTGACTTACTTCTTGCTTGTGTCTCTTGCAAGGCAACTGTTGGAGCTGCACTATGAGGTTTTCTTCAAGTTGGCTGCACTTCCAGATGAGGCCAAGATTTTGGTTTGCTCGTTTCAGGGGGTATTTTTTGTTTTGCAGTTTCCCTCTTTTGGCTTGCAGGTAAGATTAATAGCTTGCTTTGTTTTTATGCAAGAGCAATTATTCATTTCCTTTCCACATGAAAACTTCCATGTGCTCTTTTGTGGCTGCTTTTCTTTTCAGGATGCTGTTTTAGATTCAAGATGTCCTAGCAGTAATAGTTCAAATTTTCCACTGCTGATCGACAGTTAGAAGACACAGGGCACTAGGGCTAGATGCAAGCTGCAGTGCTGATGGGGAAAAACAGCTGAATAAACAATGCTGACAATCACCTACTTGCTCCTATGTGAGCAAGATACACACACACACAACCATGCAGAGAGGATGGACTGATGAATCTCTCCCTTGATGTGTATCTTCACATGGAGAAGGCCTTAGAGTGATTATCTGCATGGCTTGATAAACCTTCATCAGTTTGAGGAGCTGTTCTCTTTAACCAAGAGATGTTAAAGCAGGCCCTTAATACACAAACAGTAAACGATGTTAATATCCTTTGTGTTTTAAGCGAAACTGACTGCCTTTGTTTTGTATGTCAATGACAGACATCCTCCTTTCCTACCCAGCTCACTATGCACCACCAGCAACTGCCGGTATTGCCCCTCAGGGTAACTGATTCATTGAACGAGTCTTTTGAAACTGAGTCCCACAGGCTTTCTCCTTTGCCAAAAAGCATAAAGTCTGATTCATCTTCATGACCATGCACAACTGCAAATATAATCGTCCATGACAAAAATAACCTCCTAGCACCCAGCCCAGCTTTCGACTCTGTAGCCATTTCTGAAGTGCAAGCCACACATATTTACAGTTCTGCTGCTGAAAAGCAGGGTTTTGAAGTCAGCATGTCCTTCTGGGTTACAGCATACACAACCCAAAAAAAGCCTTTCCTAAAGCTTAACCCTTTCCTAAGACAAAGTCCCCAAGTGAAAAAAGCCAGCAGGAGACCTAAAAAAAAAATAGGTCTGGGGCACACAGCTGAAGTTCAGTTTGTCACTGATAATAGCTCCAGAAGCATGCTCTATGTTTGTAAGCCTGTGGAAAAGAATTTATGGACACCAAAGTTTTGGGGAGATAGACTTGAAGGCTTGGCAGACATGGTTGGTTAGTGGTAAGGTACTCAGAGGTTGTACAGAATGAATCTTCACATTCAGTGTAGTGCAGCTCCCTGTCCCGCTGCTTACAGTGCACTTTGCAATTGTATCTGCAGTGTCTCTTGCATGAACAGGCATTCTCTTATTTCCACAGATGAGGAAACTGCATCACAGAGGGGCTGAATGATTTTCCCTCAGTCACGCAAAGTCAGAAAGAGACCACAAAAACATCTGATTCATCTTCCTGGCTTGAATCATGAGATGGCAGTTCCTTGGGACGAAGAAAACAGGCCACTTTTTCAGTAGCAGGTCATAATTGCTCCACCACAGGGAAGATTGTGAGGCCATACTTATCTGAAATCATTGACATCATTTTGAGAGGCTAATAAAAAGTGAACCATCATTATGAAATGGTTGTTCCAGTTTCTGTTCTTGGTTCTGTCATTAGCACTCCAATCCTCTGCACCTTTCTGAAACCATGGCATTTTTCTCCCTTTTCTTAATCTAAGAACTTCATCCACAGCTTCTGTAGATAGGTTTGCAGTTTTAGATAAATGGTTTTGTGAGGGGTCTTAGAGAATAAATGCAGTGGTCAGATCTTACTGCCCATATATCTGCTTCCAGAACCTAGCATAATTTATCACAATAGAGTGTTAACTCCTGACCAAGATTTGACTGACCAAGTTATTTGATAAACTCTGAGGAGGACTGCACAGAATACGGTATCATCTTTCTTTCCTTAAGTGCTCAATTTGAATTAGATTTCAAAGAATGTGGGGGGAATAAAGAAAAAAAATCCTAAACCCATGACCTAAAAAGGAGATAAAAAGAAATGAGTAGAGCAAGGGAAGTTTTTAATAATATGGAGATCCAGTTCTTCAAGTAGAAAGTAGTTTGATAAATTTTAAAATATTTAAACTAGGAAACATTTTGTAAGAAACATTTCAGATAATTCATTCCATTAAAAAAAATATAAAAATTGCCAGAGATGTGTGATGGAAAGCTGGAATGATTCAGTAACAGGATGGCTAAGGATTCCTAGTGGGCTCCTGATTATTTTCTCTGCCAATGCTTTCTAGAATTTCCTGGGTCCAATTTTTTTCTACTTCTGTTGCTAGCTGCACAGTAAGCACCAGGAGTGAGCATGCTGGGTCAAGGAAGCTATGGAGGTGACAAGCAGTTAAGCCTCTAGGGAGGTATTAGCATATGGAATGGCACCAGGGAACCAGAGCACTTCCCAGAGGAAAGCATCACCAGCCAGACAGAGAGGAAACGGAATGTTTTCAGGGACACTGGTGTTTTCCTTGGTTGAGCTAACCAGAACTGTGTTAAGTTCTTTGTATCTGAGTGGTGCTAGATACCTAATTTTCACAGCAAAGAAAGATAGCTTTGGGCCTTGTATACTGACCCCCTGCTTTGTACTTGTTATTGTGGGTTTCTCTTTCCTTCCCATTTTTGTTTTTCTTCCCCTTCTCTATTATTTCTGAGGGAGAGAGAGAAGTGCCACTTCTGTTTCAGAAACTCCAGTCTTTGAAACTCATAGCAGTTCCTCTGGACTCCTAAGAGAACAAAATCAGGACTGTTATCCGGTACTCAGTGGGAGTAGATCAAGGAGACAGATTACAGTCTGGGGAGCTGCAAAAAGCTCTTTCTGTCTCTGTGCACATAACTGTGCCCCTGACTGATCCCCAGATGCTGTAGGAATCTCTTTGCAAACTTAGTTATTCAGATGAGAAATAGGCAAGGAATGGAAGAATTACAACAGGATCACTGTTTTGCCTCCTCCCACCACAAAGAGAGGGTCTTCATTTCTAGGGTGTGTAAGCTGTCCAGAGGATAGCCTTACACTCAGAAGAGGCCACAGAAGAGTAATGAAGGCTAGTTTAGCTATGAGAGGCTGTAGTCTGAGGCTCCACTGGCATGTGAAGTAGCAGTGGTCCTACCAGTTCTGGGACATGTTTTCCTCTTCGTGTTTTGGTTTTATTTCTCATTGAGTGTGTTATGGAGGAAAAATCTGGACATGGCTCAACTGCAAATAATGTGTTTTATTCACACATGCACCCATGAGTCCTGGTGATTTCTACAGCGTAAGAAAAAGAAAACTGATCAAGGTCCCAGGCTAGTAAAAGGAGTGCAATGTTATAACTTTGTACCATTGGAACAATTGGTGGAAAATCATCCCAAGGAAGTATAACTTTCCTGAAGGAAGGGTTTTCTTTTACAGCATCCTGCAAGTTCTTCTAGTCTAGGGACTATAATGGAAAAGATTTTAAGGAAGCATAAAAGAAATAACTCACCTGTCAAATGTAATGCCATTTGCGTTGTAATCACTGAATTCAGGAGCCTTCTTTGCTTGCTAAAATTTCTTCTGGGTTCAGTTATTTTGGGGGATGAAGTCATCTACATTAGGCATACACAAAATGATTGAGTCATCTACATTTCCCAGAACCTTTTCCTTCGCCACCCTGTGGCACATTTGATGCCTGGTGAGACAGCAAAGAACAGTTGGCACAAGCTCTTGCATGCTGCCATAGGACAGTTTCTGTTTTCCTGCTTCCAGATGTGGGATGTTAAATACATTTGGGGGCTGCCATTGGAAGCTAAGGGCTCAGCACTCTCAGCTCGTCAGCTGAACCTAATGCTCATCTAATGCTCAGTCTTTAGCTCAGGCAAAACAGCCTGGAGGATCCAGACACCTTGCTGAACTGTAATCTCTTACAATGCTGCAGGAGCAAACTCCTTTGATATAGAGTTATGTAATGAGATTTTTTGTTTTCTACAGTGTTTGTCACTCAGGTATCTTTTATTACTTCCATTTGGTCTTTGCTCAGAGTTCACCCCTTTCCTGTTATTGTAGTGCTAATCAGAATTAACGTCTTTCAAAAGTGTCCTTTTAAACACCTTAAACAATTTCCGAACTGAACTGAGTATCATATCCCATGAGCAAGCACAGATGTTTTTAAATAGACTAGAGGTATATGCTAACCTGTACGTGTTATCAAACGTGTTGCAATATCATGAGTTAGTCTCAGGGGCTTGCCTGACAGTCAAAAGGTTTAAAAGAAAATATTTATCTGGTTACATCATAATTGCAGTATTCAGAAGTGCTTTGGAACCAAGCCTAATATACAGGATTAGTCAGGTTCAAAAAGTGCTCCCAGGAGAGTCCAAGCTCTGGTTTAGGAGAACCAGTGAGCTACCTTCTTCATGGTGGTGTTGACAAGCTCTCTCAGTAATGGTGCTCATAGGTATTTCTCATTAGCTATGGTTTGAATAGGTTTCACTTACATGTAGTTACTCTGATTTCCTACAGCACTTCTCTGCTGTCTGACTCTGTTAATGTGCTGACATATGGAAGGGAAACACATCCTCTTGTGTGCTTTCAGTGTGGCTGCTTACACATGGAAATGGCTTCTGCAGTGCCAGAGATGCCTGACACATGCTTCTGCCAGTCCCCGACACTGTGCAAAGTTCATTTCTGGAGAGAGTGGCGAGCATTGAGGGCTGACAAGTGGATGTAGAGGTTGGGACAGTCTGGAGTGTGGGAAGAAATCTAGCTGGTACAAAGGGAGAACTGAGACATCTCCCTGCCTTTGGCACATCCATGATAGAGGATTTGGAGAATGTTTGGAGGATATCTGGATCTGCTAATATTTTTCATGCCTTCTGTTTTATTTTCATTTTCAATATGTAAACCCAATTTTTCCTGCAGGAATGGTTTTGGGACAGCTTGCACTACAGTGACAGCAGTCTTCTTTGGTATTTAACTATAATTCTTTACCAGCTTTTAGGTGCTCCAAGGAGGGGACAACATTCCCTCAAGGTACACTTCAGCTGTGAAGCAAAGAAGGGGTATGTGTAGGTGGAAGATGGAAGAAGAGGTTAACACACAGAAAAGAAGTGTTACTCTGTTGAGTTTTAAGGTACAAAAGGAATAGTGCTATACCATAAAAGGAATTTACATCCCTTCATTCATTTTCACTGTAGTATAAAATGCCCTAAATGTCTCTGTGCTTCACTTCTTATTGGAAAGCACATAAAGAAGAACATCAAATGATTAAAAGTGCCCTTGTGCACTAAATAAATACAACAACAACAACAAAAATGGGGGGGGGGGGGGATGGAAAGGCCAAATCTAACATACTCGAATTGTTTTGTGATACACCAAATTAATTCTTTAGTATGATGCATTGATGTGAGAGGTTCTTAGCTTATCTGCTGTTAGGAGATTTTATGCTGCCTGCTCCAACATTACACATACCAACCAGAGAATGGTTGGTTACCCACATGTTTAAGTAGTTACAGAACAACAAGCTTTTGGGTTTGCTGGATACTTAGGGTGCTTCAGTCTCCCCCTTCTTAGACTGAAAAGAGTCATACATAGACCCTGGGAGTTCAAAGAAAAAATAATGGGGGACACACACATCCTAAATGAGATTTGGGTCTTGCTTAGGCTTGACAGTATCCAAACAGAAAAGCATATAAGCCTTTTGCATGCTTACTAAAGCCTCCAATACATAATTCATCCCTTCTACTTTGCCCAAATGTAGTCCTTTCCCACACCATCAGAAAGATCAATTGAGTCTTTCTTCAGGAGATTTGCTTTTGGGCTGGTTTCCTGGGTTTGGCTGTAACAGTTATTTTCCTCCTTAGTAGGTAGAGCAGTGATGTGTTTTTGACTTTATATCCTCTTGCCCTGCAACAGGACTTTGTTTCCTGCAATGCAGGTGAGTTAAAGGGTCACCTCTGACCCAGTGTAACCAGTGCTGAATACCTTCCTCAATAACCACTATAAGGTGCCAATAAGGTGATGAATAGATAGATTTGTTCATTCAATATCATATGTTTTAGATAGAAGACTTTATTTGAGATTAAGTAACTAAAATGTAATAATTCCATCATTAATTTCCATTTTGATATACTGGTGTCTACAATGACAGCAAAGAGTTGTGGCCCCTACATGATAACGAAGAAGAAAACACAGACAACATCTTTGATAGCAAAGAGGGTGACTGATCACAGAATTCAGTGGAAAGGTGAAGCAGTCTGAGTGTTATCAGGCTGAGCAATTCAAAGGTAAAATATCCACGTCTTTGAGTTGGAGATTACAGACTTGTCCTGCTATTACAATGCCTCACTACTGTTAATAGGAGGAATGGTTTGATCAGGAGCCTCTAAGAAAAAATAGATTCACAGGCAAAACTTCTCTCTGAAGGACTACCGGTGGCTTTGGCAAATGGGCTGGGGCTTAGCATGCACTACAAAGAGCAAAAGGTGACTCTTCCATACCACGTTTAGCTGAGCCAGTGCTCTGTCTGATCAGTGCTGGAGGGAGGAATACAATCATACAGGTAAAAGAGCTAATGAAGCAATGGTGTGTAGACAGCTGTAGGCCTGGGGTATAGAAGAGCAACTTAAAATTAATACTTAGGCAAAAAAAGTCAGTTTCTGGAAGGAAATCACAGGTTCAGGAAGAGCACAGAAAGCATTGGAAAAAGAGGTGGCAAAGGCACATTTGCCTCTGCACTGGTACAGCAAGCAGTGAGCAGGCTGAGAGGAGTTGTGTGATGAGCTCTGGGTAAAGACCATTTTACACCAGCCTCTGTGTGCGAAACCAGACAGATCATTCTACTTTCCCTGGGCTTTTTTCTCCTTCCCGCTATGGAAATGTACCTTGCTCCAGGTCTGCATGGTTCTAGCACAGGAGGGCCTCTGTTTTTCTGGAGGCTTCCGGCACCACGGCACTAAATGTGACCTAGCTGTAACAGAAATAACAGAAAGGAGGCCAGGTCCAGGTCCAGGCCTGGCAAATTCAGGTGGTTACATAGAGAGGAAGTACAAAATGTCCATAACAATTACTAGAAAGGAGAAGTGCTCACCAGCTCTGAAATGTCTGCCCATCCTTCCCTGTGTCCATCCCTTTCCCTCGTCGTTCCTCTTGTATTGTGCTTTAATTTTTACAGATATCAGCCAACATCCAGCAGCTAAAATTTACATGTGTCATTCCCAACTAACTATAGCTTGTACATGGCTATAAACTGCCTCCCTAGCCCTGTTTCCATGGAAATGGAAGTTAGCAGCATGACAATAAAATCAGAGAAAATCATCAAAAGAGAGCAGTCTAATACCTTTATCTTTCTTCTGCTTAGTAGCCTCAACAAGGCAAATGCTTTTTATCTAGAGCATTTCCCATGGTGGATCTCAAAGTACTTTCCAAGTGTAACGGTAGCTAGCATCAAAACATGCCCAAGGTAAATAGTACTCCCATTTCATAATGGGCAATCAGACTTTTTAGTCTTGAAGCTCCCTTCCCAGGTACTTATAGAGCCCTTGTCTCAGACATTTTACGCACTGCATAGTATTGTCACATAGCATGTGACATGACAGCACCATGCTAATGTGTTCAGAAATAAACAGCAGGGCTGCCCATCACATCACTTCTCCCCAAGAAGAATCTTCTTCCTAGGTGTAGAAGGAAGTAAAATAGCCTTTCCTGGCTTCCTGGGATTGCAGATGCAAATTAAATACCACCAAAACATAACAAAAAGTGTCTTTCATTCCTATTTCCATTCTCAGAAAAAAATCAAACTGAGGAGCAGTGAAGCCTTTCAAGCATCTTTAAAACAATTGCCTAGACCATGTTCCTGACCTTCTTACTTCCATTTCCATGGAAACAGAGGAGGGAAAAAAATGCAGTGAATGGGACAGAGGACAGTTATGCAAGTGTATGTAATAGTTCTTACTAATAGACTCCAATTTCAGGCTGGGTGCATTTTTCGCAGTGAAATTCAAGATCCTGCAAATATGTGAAGGTGGATCTATCCCCAGTACAAATCTTCACCAGCTAGTGAAATCTCTCTTTCTTAGCATCACATCATAATAAACTTTATTGCATTGTTTGTTAGGTTTCTTCAGCTTCGTTATTCGTTGCACCGAACTTTGCTGTGTAGTCCTACGGGACAAAGTACTATTAGAACAGGTACAAATGAACATCACAGTCTTCAAATAAGTCTCAGATACATTGAAAGTAAGTTTGTCTATTTGTCTATCCATCTGCCTTTGCATTACCTATGCACTTCTGTTTTCACTGGGCCAAGCATGTAGCACTGATGTCAGCTGCCATATAGTTCTCCTTCTTTGCTTTCTGGGGTTATACAAGCATTGTAATGAGTGATACTGTTAATTCTGGATAGTACTACAGATTAAAGGGAATACAATAGCTTTTTTTCCTGTGGGTATTCATTTTACGTGCCCTCAATGAAAATTTGTGTTCACAGCAAGTCTATGGGAGGCAGCAGGTTTGGGTTGTAGGTTCCTGGAGCAGAAGGCTCCTAACTTCCTTCCTTTGGCTGAGACGTAAGAGAAAGCGGTGACAGTGGGTTCACACACTATACACTCTTGTTTATTTTGTGTCACTGACAGCAGCGATGACAGAAAATTCCAGAGCAATCTGTAATATACAGCTGAAATACT